TCAAACACATTCTTTGCAACCTCTTCTTAAATCCTACCAAATCAAAATTTGATCATGGCATCTAATTATTTCATAATTTAGAAAAACATTGTTTTAGCTGAAATGAGTCTTTGCAACCTTGCTTCAAAGGTTGGAAAATAGCAACGAATGGGGTGGAGAAAAAACTATCGCTGCTGCTTCAAGACGAATGAATCGGAGAGTTGATATCTTCTTCGAAAACATACCTGTCATAGCATTTAACACATCAGCAACAGCCAGCGGAGTCATTAGATCAGCATACAGAGTAGCAAAAAGGACATCACGGATGGAATTCGATTTTGAAATCTGTCTTAGGGAAAGCGCTTTATCAGGCAATTGGTGATACTGTTGATCACCATTGCAACAGTTGGACATTTGTGTAATTTTCAATAGTGACCTATTGAAAATTAATATCGTTAATTTTAACAGAATTCTAGAAAAATTTCCAATCGATTGGCTTGTTTAGAATTAAAATGCATACACCATTGACAGAGTTATAAGTGGTCAAAACCTGACCACTTTTCGTAACACGGTCGATTTTGTTTTTTTTTTAATTTGCACCCCCACTCAAGCAACACTCAAGTCCTATATTAGTTTATTTAACCGTTATATGACAGGTTTTGGTTGTAATAAAGTTTACTCAACATAAATGCATTTAGGAGCTGTGTTACTTGGGCAATCTGTTGCCGAAAGACGTAATCCTACGTCAAAACACACAACCGTTAAAGTGATTAAGACTAGGATTCTGATGCATGTCTTTATCGGTGTCATTGTTTTATTTTGTTGCTAAGGAAACCAATTTTAACTCACAAAGAGGCCTTTGGAGGGTGCTCTCATTCTTCGAAGGGTCTAAATAGCGGGACCTTTCAATTAGAATCGATTCCTTGCGATTAAGGGAAGAATGACAACTGTATCAAAACCGGATACTTCATCATTTTCCAATAGTGATAGAGTAATACCAACAATCAATACGAAACTAACGATTTTAAATTGGCTCACTACTTGACTAGCCTATTGGTCCCAAGCAAAACGATTAACGTACACCATTCTAGTCGAAATTCTAGTACTACACAATGTTTGTTTTGATTTGCTATGAAAGTTTGACAGATAAAATGAGGGTTTAGTGGATTTTCATATCTTTCGAGGGGTGAATCGATTAGCTTGGGACCGAAGATAGTACCAGAGCCAGGGCTGGCAAATGTCATTTTCAATGAAAGATCTCACGCGATATTTACAGAGATACTTCTGTCACTATCATTGGATGAGAAAACGATGACAGAGATTTTCTTCAAAATCTCATCAATTTTTTTTGTCATGACAGAACGTGACAGTGCTGTGATCATCGTGATTACTAGCTCATGTATTGCTATTAAAGTTACTTGTAGCAAGGAAATCTTCAGGAAGGAAATCTTAAAAATATATTCACTCTACCGATTACATATGGTTACTTGCTTAAATTCATCTAAATCAGTTAGAAATGTGGTGGTCAAAACTGCATAAGAATTATTCTCATGAGTGCTTGATCATTGGAAAATGACAAGAAAGCTAATGATCGGTCATTTCGTCTCGTGATAGTGAGATGACCTGTTTTCTCATTGTCACATGACGGCCGTGATATTTACCAGCTCTGACCAGAGCTGAGCCAAAAAGATGAGCACGTTTCTTCGGGACCTTCTGGTCTTAGAGTTACCTATATGGTAATACGACATGCACCAAACTAAGGATACTACAATAGATCAAATTACTGGTCGCAGTGGTTTTATGTCCCGAATAGAGGAAAAAAAAAAGTTGGAAGGGTTGTATACTAGATACGACCGCAGGGTTGGCGTTGGATAACGTCTGTTATGTGTTGTACTTAATTGTGTATATTATATTTTAGGAATATTCCTTAATAACTCTTTTGCGAAAGTTTGGTGGCCCTGAAAAGGGTCGTTTTGTTGGGCTGATTTTGTTGACAATGATGGAACGGGTGACCTTGTTGGACGCTTATATAGTAGAACAGAAAATATCAGAGGTGTCAGATACTCGCATCTGATGTCTCGGTTGGAGAAAGTATAAGAATATAAAAAAAATCAATCGATTTTCACCATCTTTAGACAATGGTTTACTTTTAACAATTTTTCAATAGTTTACAGAATGAAATCAATAGTTTTGAAACATTCAGCAAATTGCTAGAAATATTTCCAATCTCGTAAATCTATCGAGAGACGGTTGAGTTATTATCGTTCAAAATCTTTTAATTTTTCGTAACGCATCCAAAATGACTGTTTTTTATTTTGTACCCCCGTATGTTCCCGAAAGACGTTATCCAACGTCAAAAAAGAAGAAAGAGTAAGAGAAATCTAACGTGAAATATAGCTTCCCAAGATTATAAGTAAGACGAGTCTGAACATTATGGCACTTTAGTAGGTTGATTCCTTTTATGGTCCTTCATTGATGCACACTAAGATAGTAAGATACAACTCCGCTCAGACTTAACAGGCATTTAATAAATAAAGAAACGATTATCAAAGTAATATCATCGAAAAGGATCGCATAAAAGATGTTAGTGTAAACCTCGGAGTCAATATGTTAATTCAAGCCAGTACCCGCATCGCCAGTATAGTTTCAGGTGCATGCGGATTTACATACTCCCTGCAGGTGCGCCATTGAAACATGTAGTAATAAAAATTAATTAATCGACATTGCAATTGAACATTGAATTTATTTTATGTGAATTTACATATCACCCCTATTGGTTCCGCAGATCGGAAAATGGTGTGTGAAACAGAATCAAAGAATCATGCTCACACTGCTTGCCAGTTTTAATTGAAAGCCATTAACTTACATCGATTTGAAAAATAGCTCAAATTTATTCTGCTAAGGTGCACAATTAACCCCGAGGGCGGCCGCCGGACACGATGACCATAACAAGCCATCCATTAGAGAAACTACCGGTCGGTAGCACCTGGAACATCGACAACGAGCTTATCTTTGGAGGTCCCCTGGAGCACATTTACAACTCAATCTACTCCCGGTCGGTTGCATATCGTTTCTCACGTGACGGCAAGGAGTATGCGGGTAGCATTTTTATATCCCTGCAAAAATGGCTTTCAGGCTCAATTAGCTTGTCTTTTATTGCCATCACTTGGACGGTAGCACCATCGGTCGCACTGCTGAAAGATTGCCCGCTGCTGATAATCTTCGTGAGCTCACGGTGAGTGTTCTGGCAATTACTCTCCTCCTTGGGTCTATCGGATGAGTGAGATATCACATCCGCACCTGTTGCTGCAAATATCAGCAACGACAACGACAGCTCGCGATGACTTAATTAATGCAGAACGAGCTCGTTCGGCGCATCACACAGCAGTGATTTGGCCTTTATCTGGCGACCGAACGGAGGCAGGTAGATAAGTGTAAGTGAGACATTAAACATGTAGATTAGGTCGGAATTCAATTAATCAAGGTATACTCCCGTCGTCCGTGGGGCTCGATTTGCAAACGAACAGTGTCGACTTCAACAGCGGTAACTGTGAAAGTATAGCGGAATCCTGCTGCAGTGATTTCTCAATGAGGGGAATGCGGGCTGATAGATCGGTTGAACCTGTTGATTGATTATTCTGACTGGAAACTTGTATTGGATCTACACAGGAAACCGTGAGCTTGAGAAGTGGACGTACTGACTTTGTTTTGTTTTATCCATGTACGGTCGAGTGCAACAGGTAAAAAGTTTCACTGAGATCTAAGTAGAAATGACGATTACTTGCTAAGGTTCAGTGGATATTTAAAAAAAATATTCCACGTTCAAGAGTATAAATTGCTGCCGTTAATCAAAATTATAAGTGACAAACTTTTGGTATAAATAAAGTAGTTAGATCCCATTAGGGGAGGCCTTCCTATACCGCAATTTCTCTCAAATATAGTGACATTCTGGTAGAACATATGTCGCATTGTCTAAGCTGACGGGTCTGGTCGAGGATTGGGTTGTATGTTCAAATGAGTGCCTTGGGTATTGAATATCTATCATTGTGCCACGAAATCTCCAAATTAGTGGACTGTTGTTCAACAATGAAATTATCTCCCCCCCCTGCGACAACATTTGATTTATGGCTATCAAATTTCGCACATATACATCATCCGATTTATTAGCACCTCCTTTACAAGCTCACTGTTGCTTAATGGTGGCATCCGCACTTTGCTAAGCCCCTCGGTTTCTAGCTTAAATATCCCGAAGATAAATGATTCGCATTTTGCAACCACTTCTAACCACCGCTTTCCGTTGGGTTGTCCTGTCCACGGTGTTCCTCCGCCTCATTAGCCACCTACTTTATGCCGGACCATTAATTAAGATATTAACATGATACCGTTCACTCAGAAAGGCCTCCACCTCGGTGGGGGTCACACCGGAACGCTGAGGATATCGTTTTACGAGTCCACCATAATAATCGATGCAACAAAAGATGCGCGAACACGATAATCGTGCTCATTTTTATTAAGTGTGGCTTCGTCCCATGCTACGGCCTTGCCCTGAGGAGTGTTTAAGATCTGGCAGAAATCAATTTGTAAATGCCACTCTTAATTCCGTTGTCATATTTGTGTACAAGCGCCTTGGCAGGGGTCCTTCCAACCAATTTTCAACTGGATTCGGTGCTAAGAATTTGTGGCAGCCCTAGGGATTCGGTCGTAAATTAGCATCAACTGGAAGCAATTTCTCATGTTGCAGCATTGCATTTTTATATGCAACTAACGAGTCGCGCAGGGGACCGCAAACTACCCGCGGTGCAGTTGTTCTGTTTCGAATTCCGGAACCAACGACCCCCTCTTTTTTCGGTATGACACTAAAATCTCCAAAGTGCGATCATTAATCAAAGCTTTGCTGGCAAAGTACAAACAAAGTGATTTCACCGGCGCTGATGGGATGGAATGCATTCGCCGAACGCTGATTAAAAGAAGAATTTATATGCTGGGAATAATGTGCAGAAAAATGCGGACGAATCATTTACCTGCTGTAGTCGCCATCACTGGAATGGTGTCGTCTGGTCGCCGGAGTGCTGCTACCACTTGGATCCCGGACGTATGCCGTTGTTCGGTGAAGTTCTGGAAGTAGACAAAAAAACAACCGAAAAAGTGAAGGTACATTCTGCCACTGACAAGCGATCGATAATATAAGAAAATACAAAAACAAACAACTCCTGATCGTTCTCAGTTTAATGAGAGTCTGGTTAGTGAACAGCACAATTTTGTACGAAGTTAAAAAAAAACGTTGAATCTGCTCAAGATCACATAATCCGAGGCAAAGAAGCAGAAACAAGGAGCACTCAGGGACTGTTTCGGTTTATCTTTTATCTTGAATGCTGCGAGCCAAAAGGTGCCGGAGGTATATAAAGTGCAAATGCGAAAATTATGCTAATAAGTTTCGAATTCACTTAAATGCCCTATTGAGCTGTGTGCTGTTCTGGTTCGGATGTGGTGAAATGAGAGTTTCCAAAAATCGATGTTTGATCTCAGATGTTTTGTTTTGATTTATTTGCGTGTGTTTGGGCTTGTTTGATCCAAAAGCTTTTTCTGGATAAGGAAAATATCACACAATGATGTGGGAGGCTCATACAATCCAAGGACTCAGCTTATTCGTCAATAAATCATTGAATTTTAAGTTAAGTTGTATATGATTTCCTGTTCTTGCTGTCGATGATAAACTACCATCGATGAAATACAATACAATTTCAATCTGTTTTCTGATATTCACTGTGTGTTGTTTCTGGCGATTTTTTTTTTAGTTTCATAGCAGTGTATCAGTTAAGACTTTACGTTCCTATTATGGCTTGTAGTGTAGGAGAATCAGGATTGGAAATTGTCGCATTTGTCATTGACGCACGACGAGATATATTAAAAGATGAAAAACTCTTGTCAAACAACAATTTCTTGTCGCACGAGAAGATCAGCACGACAAAATCAAGAATCCATTTAGTCACGACTCTCTGCTTTCGTCCTATCCCGAGCACGAACCGGTAGCTAATCGATAACAAATGAATATCTTAATGTGGTATGATACCAGATTTCGGTATGCTTGTGGTATAAAACCTTGTTTTGATATTTTTCAGTTATCGAAATATTTTGTCAAATATCAAATGAATACGAAAATGTGATCTTTCACTTTTTAGACAATAGCACCTAAAAGAGTTATTGAATTGGTATTAGAAGACCTTAAAAATAACAAACTATCTTATTCGGGCATCTACAAAGCGTCTGTTATATGTTTTTTATTGTAATAACTAAATAATTTATTATTTCGTTATTCGTAACGGGTGTTCAATAAAAAATGAGATTTTTTTCAGCCACATAGCTAGCAAAAAAAAAATCAACTCTTGATAGAGCTGGAATTAGGGCGTAACAGCTTTTGTAAACAATGACTTCTCTAGATGATTTCTCGAAACTCAAGGCACGCCCACGCAAACCAACATAGCCAACGGGAAGGGGAAGTCTTCCCCTACCCGATGGCGACGTTGATTTGAGTGAGCGAGTCTTGGCTTTCTAGAAATCATCGAGAGAAGTCATTGTTTACAAAAGCTGTTTCGCCCTAATTCCAGCTCTATCTAGAACTAATTCAGTATTTTGTTTATTCTTCAAAAAAACTTCAATGAATATTGAAGAAGGGGCCCTGGTCAGCCGTACGATGCAACTTAGTCGCGATGCTTTACTTTAATTACAGAAAGGTATTAAAATCATTCTCATTTTTTATTGAACACCCGTTTGAATATTGTTGAGGTATTATTTTTGGTATTTTACCTATGTCAGCCTCACTAATACCATCTTTAGGTTTTTTAATACCTGAATTTGGTATTAATAAGTTATTTTTTCCTGCTCGGGATTTCACTTATACCCGAGCAGGAGAAAATACCTAATGAATACCAAATTCTGATCTGATACCAAAATTTGGTATTGACCAGCATGACATAAGAGGTAAAATACCAAAGAATAATACCAAAAAAATACATGGAAAATACTTTGTAAATACCAAAAATTGATATTTGGATACCAAAAGAATACCTGGGTGGTATTATTTTGGTACTGCATTATCATAATGTGGTATTGGAATGGTATTGTGAGCAATTTTTTTTGGTATTATTTTTTGGTATTTTACCTCTTATGTCAGGCTCATCCATACCAATTTAAGCTATCGAGATATTCGTTCCTGCTCGGGTACTGCTCTGCGTCAAAATACGTCAGCTCACACTATCGGCTCTGAGTTCAATACTACTTTATACCCCAAAGCAAACCTTTTCGTTAATGTCCAAATGTGTGGGTTCTGTCTCTTTTCTTTCGTCAACGAACCAAATTTCAAAATGTCATTTAAAAAGAAGCTTAAAAACAAGAATCCATCCATTCTAATATGGATGCTAGATTTCATAAAAAGTGGAACATACTGTTAAATTCCCTTGGTATTTCCAGAATCGGGATGAGGTCTAAAGACCGTCTAACGTCAACCGTCTAAGCCCCCGTAACGTGGGTAGATCACCTTTTCGTGGTACGTTACGGGATGTAAGATCTACCACCGATTCCTAGTCCTGACTACTTCAAACTGGGGGAACAGGATTTTTCAGTAATCCAAGGAACACATCTTAGTCCTTGATACTTTTTTTGCCTTGTTGATAGTGACAAGACTCGGCTTTGCCCACCGAGGATGATCTTGAAACAAGGAAAAAATGAGTTAGTTAGTCTTCGTCTATGTGATTCCTAATCTTCTATTCGTTGTTCTCTAGTTTGTAGTAGAGATGTGCGATCCGCTCCCGAGCTGTTCTAAAGAGTCGATTCACTAAAGTGAGCTGATAACCCGCGGTTTAATTTTTAGGAACCGCAGCTCATCAGCTCACTGATATAACAAGTCTAATCAATTCAATCCGTCACTTATAGAGGAACTTTTCAATGAAGGACTCCACACTCCACTTACGCATTGAACAGTCACCGCGTAAACCAAGATGCGCGCGTAGTACAACATGTGATCGATAGCATCAACGATAAAAGCAAACTTCCAAGCGACTTTATGGGAGAGAAACATATTTACATGTTTTACAATATGTTTAATGTCTTTTCTTCTGGGAGAGCGGAAGATCCGCACAAAAGCAGATCACCGAAAAGCGAAATGCAGCTCTCCACCTCACAGCTCAGCTAAGGATCTGAATCATCGACCCAAATGATTCACTGGGAGCCTGAGCCGAGAATGGTGAGAGCAATTTTAGTGGAGAATTAACATCAGCATTAAGATCTGTTTGATCTGTATGATATGATAATTGTTCTTTTGGGCAAGTAATATTGCACCATATTTTTGACTTTGATGTGATATCAATATTATTATTTTGCTGTGTAGACTGAATTGCATGACATGAGAAAAGGCATCAAATCTATCATCGCTTGTATATGATTAGCTCTCTCGCATACATTTTATGCATTTACTGATATAGCAACTTTGCGTGCATTTTGGTTTACGCGGTGGTTGTTTAGTTGATGCGTTAGTGGCGTTTTCAATTGAAAAGTAGAGCAATACTGTAAGCTACGTATTTATTGGTTTAGATTATTTTTACGATTTTATGTATTTTTAGGATATAGCTTTATTGTGTCAAATTTCTATAATTTCAATGTGAGCTGAAGAGCTGTTCAAAAGAATCAGCTCCCCTTAATGAGCTGGACGGGTCTGATCCGCTCAGTCATATGAGCTGTTTTGCCCACCTCTAGTTTGTAGTGGTTAAGAATAGGGTTCTGATGCATGGTCATTATCGGTGTCATTCCTTAATTTTGTTGCTAAGGAATCCTATTTTGACTGACAAATGAGCGCGCCTTTGGAGGGTGTTTCAAAAATCCGAGGGGTATAAATAGCGGGACCTTTCAATTAGAGTCGGATCCTTGCGATAAATGCGAGAATGACCACTGTAAAAAAATTGAATACTTCATCATTTCTCAATAGTGATGGAGTAATACGACATGCACTAAACTAAGGACACGGGGTATACTACAATATATAAAATTACTGGTCGCAGTAGGTGTTAGTGTTAGGCCCCGAACAGAGGAAAAAAAAAACCGTAAATCGTCGTCCGACGCCATTTTAAATCCAAGATGGTGTCTTCTGGTTTCAGAAAAAGTGAGAAATATGCAATATAGGTACCCAACAAACAATCGCCTATTGAAGAAACGACTTCTTGACGATTTGATTCAACTGCATGCTTAATAATACTTGTAAATTTTTAATAATAACTTCTGTTCAGGATTTGTTCTCACAAATCTGGAGAATATATTAAACCACAATATGGTATAGGTTAAGGCATGTCGAGAAGCTTTTATTCGACTTCCATGCACGGGAACAAATCAAAAATCCTAAATGAGAAAAATGACTCATGATTTCATGAACATAGCGTATTTTCTTGTTATGAAAATACACCATGAATAATATTCATGATATCATAAGCTATGTTTGCGTAACGCACCCAAGATTCCCGAAATCATGAATCATTCGAGTTAAAATCATGAACTAAATTCATGAGTTAAACTTTTAGCTTTTAAACCCAAATATATTTAAAAATATAACAAAGCAACAGACTAGACTGGATTTGAACCAAGAACGTTACGATCATTAAACCCTTACTTTGACCACTAGACTATCAGTACCTGTATAAAATCGAAGGCAAAATGCGTACAAGAGATACCTATGTATGTAGTGCGGTGAACACGGTGTTCCAAGTAACGCTTGAAGCGGTTATGATTCCGCTGCATTATGAAATCGTGAATTTCCATAACGAAATCATGAATCATTGTTATGATTTTATGGGATGGCAAGTTTTTTGATTTCATGATTTTTTATTCATGAAAATGGAATTGGATTTTTTCCCTTGTGACTTGTAGCCGAGCTTATTCCAATCAAATATTTTATTATTCAGCGTTTATTGGACATCTTTGTTCCTTAAACAGCGATGCAGTATATGCTTGATTATCATGTGAAGTAACGTTTAAATTATGCACTATTATACATTTATTAAACGATTATTCCACTGCAGGAAAATTAACCCGAAAACAAAGAACACAACGGTAGCGGCAAACCAAGGTCCAGT